TAATGACCGTGCCGATATTAAGCGAAGTTTATGTGGTTTTTAATGAGGTTCTAGCGTTTATCAATTCTATTTTATGGCGGTTTTGTGTCGTCAACCCATAGTCCAGTTTAAATTTTATTACTCGATCACTTAAAGTGTTCAACATTATAAGTAATTACTTTGATAGTAAACATTCCATTTAGACCCCCATAGTGTAGTGTTAGGTGTGTTGGGTTGCGCAAAATTATGTTATGGACTTCGACTATTAAGTGATTCCACAGACATATATATATATATATATATAAAGTATCGAAATACTTCAGTAACTAAAATGGATTCGTAGGAGGTTTTAGTCTTTATGAATAAGGGAAATAGACATTCCAAGTAGTTTATATGAAAGATAAATATATATCTATTAAACTACTTGCCTTTCAAAAATGGGTATAAAGACATCACATTCTTATATGTATTCTGTGATATCTGTGACGTTATGCATTTGGTGATTGGCGACGTGAACATTGTATATTAAAAATTCGGAAATTTCTTCATTATTTATTATAATAATTTTAATTTAATCACAATATTCGAATTTTTAATTTAAATTAAAATAAATTACTAATTATTAATTTATTTATAGAACGAAACCTAAATCCAGTAATAAACCTTAGACCATCTATTTTGGACATTTTGTAAACCCACTAAAGCCTTATTTACATACAACAAACCCTTTTTTATTATACACAGATTATAATCAACATTATTTAGCATTTATTAACAGAATAACAATCCGATATGAATATTTATCATACAAATTAGCGGTGCTATATATACGTATATGTATAATTATATCCACCGTAGTAAAATCGATTTTCATATAAAAAGGTTTACAGTTTCTGCCATTTGTTATTGTATACGAATTGCTATGTGGTGTGAGTGATAAGGGTGAGCGATTTGTAAATATCAATGTAATATTAAATTTTATAATAGTTACACGATAGTATAAATGATAAATGTTAATAATAAACATAAAAACTTTAAAAAGTCTGCTGCTGCTTCCAAATTTAGGACAATCTCGCTTTATTAAAATATTAAATAAAAAGTAACTTAATAATGTATTTATAGTATTTCGAACTCTTAGATAATATTGTTCAATATAGACAATACATTAACAAAGACAATTATTTATTAATAAAATTATTATTAATAAATAAAATTATTTGATAATAGTAAAAATATAGAAATAACTTTTTTTACAGGTCAACTAAAACTCATGAAATTTGTTTTATATGTAATATCTGGGAAGGAGAAGAATATATAAATATATCAGTAGACATAGTTGCAATGGTCTATATTAACAAATGATGTATTTATTTTTCACCTCTTGGCTCCATAAGAGCTCAATCTATTTTTTTTTCATAATTTTTATTTATAGGAATAGTATTTGAGGTCGAAAAAAGATGTAGTTTACTTTTGATCCTGATCTGATATAACTAATTGATGTGTTACTGATATAACTAAAATATTGTAAATAATTGCTTATCATAATGTTATTTAGTTACTGTATGTACAAAATTTGTATAAATATAATATAGAAATAACAAATTAATCTGTTGAAGGTTATGCACAAAATATTTAAGAGATTTATATACCGAAACCGCTTGCAACTTGTAACTTATGTCATGGCGTCAGCAAATAAATTTGAATTTATAATTGTATCTTTCATTAGCATAGGTATTTTGTTACAAACCCGCCATTTTATCAGTATACCACAATCGGGATGTTTAATTAAAAGTAGCTGGGAATTATCTATTCGAGTCTCTAATCAGCTGTTTAATTTGAAATCTCGATATGAAACGCGAATATGGCCGTCCAATGTCGGTCGTTGACATCTAAACAAGTTTTTAAATATCTACACGATTTCTCGGAGAACAACGTATTTATGTAAATCTAGACAATCTATTTGATAGTCACATAATTTTAGTAATAATTTGTGTATAGATACCGTCCATCTTTTTTAATATTTTTATTATAAAAATTTATTGTAACGTCTTTGCAAATTTCAAATGTTTTAAAATTTATATTTATGTTTCTTTTTTTGTTCAGATTGTAACTGTAAAATTTTAGCAATTTAGGTATTGTAATTTAAATTTTGTATTATTAGAAAATACTTGTACCCTTCGACAAAAAAAAAGGTGTTATAGTAAATATCTGGCCATTTACGCAGTTAAGGGTATTTTCAAAGGTTAATCTTTATACTAGTTTTTTCTATGCAGTTAACTGAAGGATAGTTATAAATGGCGAAACAGGTCAAGTATTTGTTACAAAACTTTTTTTTTTGTGGAAGAAGCGTATTCTAATAATATACAAAGTTTCACAAAATGCCAACATCCGTAATAATTGACATAATTTTATTTTAATCGGTAATAATAAGATTTATTAAATAGACATGAGTAATATGGATACGGATCCGATATCTATATATTGGGTTCTTCCTGGACATCGATGGCGAAAAAAAGATCATCATCCATTTCGATACGGCCCATATCGGTTGAATCTATTTTCGAATATGTTAAAAGCCTGTTATCATATTCATTATCGGACCAGTGTATAGATATTGTAACTAAAATACATAGACATTGCAATTATGATTATAATTTATATTCTATGCAAAATACCGTTTCCTGTTTAAGACGTGTTTTTGTACGGTATCTTCAGAATTATTCTATTATTCGTTTATTTGAATTAATTGGCTAGCTATATCCTGCTGTTTGGTAAGCGACCTCGTATATCTAGTTACAATAGAAATTTCCAAATATTTCTCATCTAAAAGGAGCTGTGTACAACATTTTATGTTTGTATGTCAAGTTGTATGTCATGTTGACCTGTCAGTCAGTTTCTATTTTTATATTATAATAATAATTATTATTATTTGTTTATAATACTAGCAGTTAAAGGTCATGTACAAAATGTAAAAGTTTGTGCATTTGTTACATTTTAACAGATTAAAGAATATTTTTATGCAACTTAGAATGGCAAGCAAGCTATCGGTCCACTTGATGGAAAGTGGCAACCGTCGCCTATAGACATGAGCAGTACCATAGACATAACAGAGTATACTGTTTCGCCCATGATACCCCCATGCGTTGCCATTCCTGAGGATTTAGGTGTTATTCCTATGTACCTTGTAAATTTACTGTCATCCTACCCTTCAAACCGAAACACAGCCATGCAAACAACTGCTTCACGGTAGAAACACGAATGAGACAGAGGTGCCGAAGCAAATGACTTTTGTACAAAGTCTCCTTCTAGTAAAAGAAAAAAGAATATAACAATAAGTACTATATGAGGTAGAGAAGGACGTAAGCTACTTTTTATCTTTGTCAATAAATATATCTCATTTATGCCTATGAAGTCGCGAGTAATAAAACGGATAGTAATAGTATAAATCGCTCGACGCTCATCGCTTATGTACTTAAGGGCTTTAAAAGTTGAGCATTTCTGAGGTAAATTTTACATCCAGTACACGTCTCATCTCGTAAGTAGCTCTCGAGATGAAAACTTGAGTTGAAGTAGTGCCGCGTCCATTCTGAATTCTACAATATTTGAATTTCTTAGCATCAAAATGAAGATGTTTCGAGTATCTCAAAATAAGATGGGCAAACAAACTTAGACGTCGTAAATAGTGGCTATTTATTTAATGTTTGTTTTTGTTGTAACAACTTTAAGGTCAGAAGCCTGGAAAAATAAGTACAGTTAGGTCAGAAAAGTATTACAGAATCTTTAAAGAAGTAAAAGTTTATGGCAGTCCATGTAGGATGGATAGCTAAAATGACATTTTCTGATTTACTCAAATTTATTGTTAAAATTCGTTCGTAAAATAGCGCAATACTATACCATTTTTTTAATTCAATTATTAGTTTACTTACTTCCTAAAAACGCTTTAGGAAACATACTTGTACCACACCGATAGAGCACAGCTTTTTATCCCGTATACCATAAGTAATACTAAAAAAAAACTCTTTTATGTAAAATGAAGGACAAGGGACTATTAAAATATGTTGTCAACAATATAAGGTATATTGATGGCAATATAGACTAAATATCACGTAAAGGTCAGGTCGATCTTTACGTAGTGTCTTCTGGAAACCATGTGGCTAATACGTAAAGAATTCTTCATGGACTGGGGTTATACCAGTCGATTCATCGAAAAGAAATCCTAGTGATAATAGGTAAAGATGGATCTTTACCTATTATCAGTCATTTGTACCTCACCATTGTATACCGATTACGCAGGTGAGGTGCATTTTTTTTATACAACTTGGAATGGCAAACAAGCTGACGGCCCACCTGATGGAAAGTGGTAACCGTCGCCTATAGACATGAGCAGTACCATGGACATAACAGAGTATACTGTTTCGCCCATGATACCCCCCATGCGTTGCCATTCCTGAGGACGCAGGTGTTATTCCTCCGTACCCAGTAAGTTCACGCCATATCCCACCCTTCGAACCGAAACACAGCCATGCAAACACAACTGCTTTACGGTTGAAACACAAATGGGACAGAGGTACCCAAGCAATCGACTTTTGTACAATCTTCCTAGTATTAGATCGTTATCTTCTACTTCATATACGTAGACTTCAGGTGTAGATAAATTGATAAAATAAATTATTTCTAGATCACATATCAAATTAACATTTTAAATTATATACCAGATTTTAAATTAGGCCATCCGAACTACAAGTGTGAAAAACGTATCCAATTTGACGCAGTAGTTTTCGCGTTGTGCCGGACCAAACATAGAAAGTCAGACAAAATTTCAAAAAAATATCGTTTTGCTATCTATCGGTCTTATGAAGACCCCTCATATTATTTTTTCTTAATTATTTCTCATGTACAGACAATTGGTAAGATGATATATATAAAATAATTCTGTTTATCTGACCGCATATTTATTTGTTCCACATTCCGTAGTAACACAAAAAGGCGTGGTCGACTAACATATAAATTTTGTCCAACAGAGTGCTATAGTCGGCTCCAGGGTGACACTGCCGTGTCGTGTGGAGAACAAAGTGGGTGATCTACAGTGGACCAAGGACGATTTCGGTCTTGGCATACATCGAAACTTGAGCGGGTACGAGAGGTACTCCATGATCGGCAGCGACGAGGAAGGTAAATACAGAATATTGTTTTTAAATTTCTTTTAAAAAGAAGTCTGTTTGGTTGCAGCCTATGTACGCCTACTCTAACTCTCTTATGGTTTATTTTAACCCTTTTAGTGCCATTGATTTTTACTCATATCTACTTAAAAATACCAAAGAAATCTTTGTCGTGTTGATGTCGTTTACCCTTGTCTCTAAAAAAACTGTATCTCATCCAAAAATTATCCAATTTTAATATTTTTTTCTTACAGCAAGCTAAACAGCGACTGAGTTCACGAGCCGAGCGCTATGACGCTCGTGGCACTTTTAGTTGCAATGCTCACGAGCGCGATGGCGCTCGTCGGCACTCAAAGGGTTAATAAACTTTGTAATTTTAACTGGCAATGCCTTTACAATCTTTCTAATATTTAAATTGGTCAAGAATTGTCAGATTGTTTATCTAACAATAAAAAAGTACCAATTCTAAAATAAAAATTAATATTATTATATTCAATATATTAAATATTTTAAATACAAGTATTTTCAATTTAATATGTCCATGAAACATTATGTCATTCAAAAATTCATGTTTTGTTATGATTTAATTCATATTTTTGGTTTTGCTAATCTAAAATGTATCCACTTACAACGTAACCTTCTCTAATCTATGATACTTGTTCTATAAGTATATTACACAGTCTATAAATATGTTTTTTTTTAATGGATGATAATGGAATGGTAACCCCACCCGCGCTATCGGTATACACCGGCGGGGCACCAGAGAAGGATGATAGGTGAGGATGAAGTAGGTCAGTAAGCCCATCGTGACGAATTCAACAACAACAACGAACCACGTGGAGGTCGACCTAATAAGGCATATTGCTAGCAATGGGGCTGTCAAGCTCCATAGCTAACAATCCCTTTCCCCCCTCTATAAATATGTTACGTATATTGCATTGCCCCTTTAATACATAAAATATCTATGTTTACGTTTATAACAGCCGGAAAATAGTTACAAGAAACTAAACATCGATCTTAGTGCACAGTACACACACATGCACACTTGTTTTCATAAATAAAAGATAAAGAAAAGCTATTCCTCAGGCCCAAACACCCATAAACAAGAATATTTTAGTATTAAAAAAAATATTCTCCGGCGTAGACCGCAGAAAAATATTTAGGTAAATTATTTATTGTGAGGTAGTTTTTATTTTCAGCTACATGTATAACCTGTTTGTAGATGTTGAGTGAGATAAAGAAAAAATGTTAAAAAAAGTCTTCCTTTTCTTGCTTCTCGAGAAAACAATAATATCGTTTTTATTGCAATCAGTTACAGTTTTAATGTACCTAATAGCTACCGGTTTAACTTATATGTAATTAAACTAGTATTGGGACCAATTCGTGATCCACAATCATGAGCGGCTGTGACGCGAGCTGCGAACACACACGTGTGTATATATAAGTTAAATCGGTAATTATAACATTAAAATATAATGTGTGCTTACGAAATTTATAACAATAAAATTACAATTTTAATTTAGAAACTTAAACTGACTACATCTGATGAGGAAGAAAGGTTCTCGAGTAACGATCTTGTACAGGCAAACGCAGTGTTGAGTGATCTTCAACTAGATAGAGTGATGATCATTCCCTATGGTGATTTATGAGGGAGGCTCATGTTCAGTACTTCAATTATTATTGTATAAATGTACGTAGACTATAAATGGTCTAAAGGATGACGATGATAATGTCATCATCCACACCATAACAATAACGTCAATTCTAATAAGTGCCTGTTATCAGAATTTCTTAACAAAATCAGAATCGTAGAGCGTATTTTATTTTATTAATAATATATTATTTGACAATTTTAATATTTTACGAAAAGTAGCTCTCAGACTAAAATCCAAATATAGCGTTTTTATTATAATCTAAAAATTTTATATAAATAAATCCATCAAGACGTTAAACAAAAGACTACAAAGGAGAAGGTATAACGTAATCCGACTTGTACTTACGCGCCACTGAGTAATATTAAAAAAAAAAATAACTAAAAAGAAACGTATGTCTATTTTGAATTTTTGGTGGGAAACAATGGTTGGTTTAAATATAGAACAGATTCGCGTGACTTCTAATAAAAAAAAAAACATTATGTATAAAATCTATGTAACCAGTTCATTGCATGTGAAAATTTTATACTATAAATAATTAGTTCCTTCGTGATACCTATCGATATCGATATTTGGCCGGATGCATATTTTAAAAAGTTTTACAACACTACAAATACTTATTTATTTTGTTGTGTCGACACATTTAGATGGTTGCATAAATTCATTTTCCAGTTTGTCTATATAAGGGTGGTGTCGACTCTTAACTACACTATATATAGTGACAAGGAATACTACTTATGTTTAATAGATTATTTTTTTTATTAAATATTAAAATATGTTTATATATAGTTAGTTTTGTGTATATAAACTTTAACTGTGATGATAAACATTATTTATATTTGAAATTACTTTTTTGTCCGTCACTTCGTACGCGTGGATTTTTGAAAAAGGAAATAAACCACCTATGGCATATTAAAATTGTGCGCGAAAGGACTGTATGCTGGTATTGAAACACATGGTGTTTTTAGAAAGATAATATAAGCGACCGAAACAAAACTAACTGACGGTAACTTTAAATCAAAAACATAAAAAGGTACGTCGTGCACAATAATGTTAAAAAAAATACCAGATCTTGAGTTAGATCTTCAGGAATATAATTGTGAAAACTGCATTCAATTCAATGCAGTAGTTTTTGCCAGAACAATTTTTGGTATATCATCGAAAATTAGGAAAAAAATAAGCGAGTCCCATTCGACCTTGACTAGTTTTTTTTTTTATATGAAACTTAGACACGTTTAAAAACAATCTCTATTAATATATCCATAACTTTGTACAAAAGTCAATTGATTGGGTACCTCTGTCCCATTCGTGTTTCAACCGTAAAGCAGCTGTGTTTGCATAGCTGTGTTTCGGTTTGAAGGGTGGGATATGGCGTGAGTTTACTGGGTACAGAGGAATAACACCTGAGTCCTCAGGAATGGCAACGCATGGGGGGTATCATGGGCGAAACAGTATACTCTGTAATGTCCATAGTACTGCTCATGTCTATAGGTGACGGTTACCACTTTTCATCAGGTGTAGTTGTATAAACAAGTTGTATGAATAATAAAAATCCACACAACCTCCCTAGGTTATAGACTTCCTCTTAATACCAGATACCAAATAGATAAACCTTATTTTAGCTTATAAGAATGACAATCCCCTTTATGGAATAAGTTTGCAATTGTACTCATTTTTTTCTTAAGAACTCTGTATTATACAATTTAAGACTTTACTGTACAATAAAGTGTTACAAACAAACAAACAAAATAATTCATTAGGAGTTTGTATGTACCTTAAATTATTATATATATAGATTGGCGATGTTTTATAAAAGAAGGGAGACATAATAACATATATGTTAGAGCGAGATAGACAAGGTGGACATTCACCTGCACAATATAAGCTCAAAACTGATTTGGTGGGCGTATGAATAAAACAAGTTCTAATTATTTTTACGTTTTGAAGTGGAATTAATTTTAAGTGAATGTAGTTAGTTGTAATTAAGTAGGTATGCTACATCTTTAAAAGGTTTGTGTTCAGCAGTGGACAGTTAACGGCTGATATGATGTTTTTTTTTATACAACTTAGAATGGCAAACAAGCTGACGGCCCACCTGATGGAAAGTGGTAACCGTCACCTATAGACATGAGCAGTACCATGGACATAACAGAGTCTACTGTTTCACCCATGATACCCCCATGCGTTGCCATTCCTGAGGACTCAGGTGTTATTCCTCCGTACTCAGTAAATTCGCCATATCCCACCCTTCAAACCGAAACATAGCCATGCAAACACAACTGCTTTACGGCTGAAACACGAATGGGACAGAGGTAGCCAAGCAATCGACTTGATAATGAAGTGTAGTATTTTTTAAATGGATGATAATGGAATGATAACCCCACCTGCGCTATCGGTATACACTGGCGGGTACCATTGAGTGATAATAGATGAGGATGAAGTAGGTCGGTTAGCCCATCGTGACGAATTCAACAAGAATTAGCCACGATGGTTTCCAGGGGAACCACGTGGTGGTCATCCTGACAGGGTATATTGCTAGCAAAGGAGCTGTTAAACCCCATTAATAACAATCCCTTTCCTCACAAATGAAGTGTACTGTAACTGGTTATAATACAAATTAGAAAAAAGAATCACAAAATTGCACATCTTTTACGTAAGTTTGCACTAAACATTTATCTCGTTAAATGCAATATTATTTTTATTATTATATTATAAAAAAATATTATTTTATTTTTATTAATTATTATTATTATAAAAAAAAATATTATTTGACCTTAATAAAGTTATGAATGAATCCACGTATTGAAATTAAAATTATAACAAACCTTTATTTTTAATAAAATATTTTTGCATATACAATGCTTTATAAATTCAGACCCGTCATATGCACACATTTACAAAACACGCAAACAATAGTGTAACTATTTTTCGAACGTACACAATAGTGTAACTCGTTTTTGTTATTGCATTGCCAGTCTGTTAGTACATAGTACGTCATATTACGTGTATGGTACGTACCATCAACTGGTGATGTTTACGGTGAGGTATGGGTGGCGATTATCGCTTTCTATCAATCGACTAACAGCTTCTTTACCTCCTCTTGTTGTATAAAAAAATCACTCGACACTGGCCGAAATGTATATACACTGTTTATAAATAGGGCTTTCTACCAATTTATATTGATGGGGGCGCTATTGTGTTATAATATAAACAAACTTCTCTGCTTTAGTCTGTAGATATGTGAAGAAAAGAATATTAAAAACTTTACTTTCTCGTGTTTTTACATATTTTTTAAGTCAGCAGACTTTCAATAATTTATTTGCTTTGTTGTTGTTTACATTGTAAAATGGTGGCGCTACTTTCGCAGAACTTTGCTTCCCGCCATTTTTTAAGAAGAAAAATAAAAAAGTTTATTTTCTCGAATATTTTAACCATTTTAAATTTAGAATTAACATGTTTCCAATTATAAAATAGGTACAAATCTTGATTGTGTTTATTATTGGCGTGTAACTACGCAACTGTAAGTATCAGATCGTAAAGATTTATTATACGAAATCTGCTCAACGTTTTAACTAGCCGTCTTAAACTATTTACGTTGTTAGAGACCTATCAATTTTCTTGGATGTTTCATTATAGCTGTTTAAGTTACTTTTTAATTCAATTATTTCAGTGTTAGATACATTGGACAGTTCTTCATATTTTACCAAAACCTCTTATACAGAATTCCATACAAAATTAGAGAGAAACTTAAGCTAAAATTATTAAGAAAATTATACAGATTAAATTGAGCTGTCTTATAAATCGTTATTAAAAAAGTAATCGAATAGAGATTTAAAACCGTACAGCAAAGCCAAAGCTTCATCAGCAGTTCATTGTAAAAAGCCTTATAATAAGAATGAAAGTATTTCACTTTTTGGTGCTATTTTTATTTACATCGAATCGATCAGGTTTTTTTTATACAATGAAGTAGCACGCAAGCATACGACCTACCTAATCTAGCCTATGTAGGCCTGCAATACTAAGAATATTACTCGCGCGTTGCCGACCCTGAAGAAACGTCTTAGAGGTTTATTTAGCTATACACTTTTTTATGCAACTTAGAATGACAAACAAGCTGATGGCCCACCCGATGGAAAGTAGTAACTGTCGCCTATTGACATGAACAGTATCATAGACGTAACAGATTATACTGTGTCATCCACGATACCCCTCATGCGTTGCCATTCCTGAGGTCTAAAGTATTATGCTTTTCTACACTGTAGTTTCATTGCAAAATCTCACCCTCCAAATCGAAACACAGCCATGTATATACAACTGCATCTCGCCAACACGAATGGGACAGAGGTATCTAAGCATAATCAACACATACAAACAATCGAAGCCACAGTACTATCCGCCATATGCGAATCTAGAAAAAAGCGGGATATAATTAGACAAACATACGCACGAGATCAACGACCGATCCGACTTGGCTGATGATGACTTCTTGACTCATAGAAATGTTTTCTCAAGGTCAGTATATATTGGCAGACCATAGACAATAGCGGAAACGGTTTTATTTTTAAAAGACGATGAGAGAACGTAAATCAAATTGGGAATTGCTAAAAGATATTTTTCTATAAACAAAATATAAACAAAGATTTTGTTTTTTACTAACTAGATGTAGTAAGATCTTTAATAAGATTAATGGGAGTTAGGTTTGATGGAAAAAGAAATGTTGTACAGTGACTTTTGTACAGAGGGAGACTGTACAAAAGTCGTTTGCTTGGACACCTCTGCCCTATTCGTGTTTCTACCGTGAAGCAGTTGTGTTTGCATGGCTGTGTTTCGGTTTGAAGGGTGGGATATTGCAGTGAATTTACAGGGTACAGAGAAATAATACCTGAGTCCTCAGGAATGGCAACGCATGGAGAGTATCATGGGCGAGACAGTATACTCTGTTATGTGCAAAGTACTGCTCATGTCTATAGGCGACGGTTACCACTGTCCATCAGGAGGGCCATCGGCTTGTTTGCCATTCTAAGTTGCATAAAAAAAAGGATTAAGGTACAATAACCTTAAAAATAATAAGTGAAGCAATCCAATCAATTTTATAATTAAATCTTAATTATAAAATATTATAATATATTTATACCACCTGTCTTATTAACAATTCAATTTTACTAATACAAAATAGTTTTATTTAGCTTTTACAATAAGTAATTTCAATTTAATCAGTTTCATAATTAAAATTTAATTGCAAAATATTACAATATTTATTTTATTCGTTTCATTAATCATTCTATTTATAATTAAAATTTATTTGTAATGTATTTTTTTTTTGTAATCCCTATTTAATTAACAACTTGAACCAGATTAGTTGCTATGGGATCTAAAAAAAACGATTTGAGAATTTCCAAAAGTGAGCAAATACAAATTAAATTAAATATAGCCGAAGGGTATGCCCAAGTGAGAATAATTTTAATAAACAGATTGGACTAGGCGTTTCTATGTTTAATGAAAAACGAGGAATGAATCTTCAGATATTCTCTTAAGATTTGAACCTAACTATATTTTTAGCTTACTTCAATAAAGAAGGATTTCTGAATTCGGTTGCATTTTTTTATGTTTGTTACCTCAGAACTGCGTCATTTGTAAATCGATTTGAAAAAATATACTTACAGATTGGTTCCATAAAAATTTTAATCAAAATCGCTTTAGTAGTTTAGTTTTTAGGTCAAAATAACCGGTTTCCTCACAGTTAAAGTAGATTTTTTTGAGAGACACAATCTTTATTTCTATTTTTATTACTATTGGACAGTCGACTATGTTTTTAGTTTGTTTACATTATTATTTTATTTATTTAACATTTTATTGCACCAATATAATAAGACTTGTTGAAGAATTTTCAATAGGTATTGTGAGGTATAAAAGGCAGACTTATTTTTTAATGGATGATAATGGAGTGGTAACCCCGTCTCTGCTAACGGTATACGCTGGCGGGGCATCGGTAAGGGATGATAGGCGAGGATGAAAAGGGAGGGCAGTTAGCTTATCGTGATGAATATATTTGGAATTCAGCACGATGGTTTCCAGGGGGGACCACGTCGAAGTCGATCTGATATGGTATATTGCTAGGATGAGGACTAACGCATTACTAACTATCCTTTCCCCGGGTAGTTCTATTGCTAAGCAATCTCTGTAGTTTATTTTAAAATAATTAAATGATAATATAAACAAACTACACTTTTTTTTTATACAACTTAGAATGGCAAACAAACTGACGGCCCACTTGATGGAAAGTGGTAACCGTCGCCTATAGACATGAGCAGTACCATGGACATAACAGTGTATACTGTTTCGCCCGTGACACCCCCCATGCGTTGCCATTCTTGAGGACTCAGGTGTTATTCCTCTGTACCCAGTAAATTCACGCCATATTCCACCCTTCAAACGGAAACACAGCCATGCAAACACAACTGCTTCACGGTAGAAACACGAATGGGACACAGGTACCCAAGCAATCGACTTTTGTACAAAGTCTCCCTCTGGTAAACGTACAATTTATGATTTATATTATTCAACTTATAAATTTATTGTTACAGGAGATTACTCGTTGGATATAAAAAACGTATCGTTGGAAGATGACGGCAAATATCAGTGCCAAGTTGGTTCGGGGCTCAACGGTGAGTTTACGATGTTCCATTCTGTTTGTTGCGAATTGTTTATGGGATTTTGGTGAATCATGCGAACACACATGTGTAAATATAAAACCGGCAGTTTTCATAGTTGTGTTTATATTCGAACTAGCATTTATTCTTCGGGTTTGCTTGTATTCCTTGTATTTTATCTATAATTTACTATTATTATAATTGTGAAAATCTGTAAATATGCTTGTTACTAAATTGAGATTAACGACTCAATGAATTTAAATAAAATTTTGGTATATGAGTAGGTAGTGTATGACGCAGTGTAGGACGATCTCCCACTAGATGGAGTAACTATCTGAAATGCATTGCAGGGAGCCAGTGGATGCAGGTGGCTCAGGACCGTTTTTTATGGCAGTCTATAGGGAAGGCTTATGTCCAGCAGTGGACGGATAATGGCTGAAATCATGATGATGATGATATGAGTAGGTTATATTTTAACCCATTATGTTCTTTATATTTTGATTCACGCGAAACCACGGGAAATAGCTAGTAAATTATAAGAAAGCAGCTAAGTAATCATGTAATTTTTGACGTTATAAAGTTTTAACATTTGAATTTATGAACAAAAGTTCTCAAAGAGAAATATTTGAAAGCATTATAGCCTAGTGGTTTACTACTGTGACTTATAGACCGGAAAGGTGATGAGTTCCAATCTGTCGGACAACAAAACTTTTGTGTGTATGCGTAAATTTCCAACTAACTCTCTGATGACGGAAAACACTGATAACGAATCAAATTAATCCGAGCGACAGTGTCATGCTGACATGAAGGCATTACTACATTCACCACAATGGTTTCAGTCGACAAATATCTCTGGCTACTCTATTTTGGATCGTAGCCGTGAGCCTTATAGTATATATCGCATATTTTTCTTATTCCTAAAGGAATAGGGATTCATTAGGAAGTTAGGACTGATATAGTTCTGTTTTCCACCAGGTGAGCCAGGAATCCGTTCCCGGTACGCTCAACTGATGGTGCTAGTAGCGCCCGACCCTCCCAGGATACTCCAAGGTGCCTTCATAGATGCCACTGAGGACCAGCCAGTAGATATTGAATGTGTGTCTGTCGGTGGCAAGCCTGCTGCTGAGGTATCATCATCATCATCGCAATAATTCATCATCATTTTTACGGCTATCTTGTCCAGCAGTTAATTGTTGAATGGTCACGAAATCGATCCTCGTATAATACAAAAAAAATGTATTAATGAATATGTCTGTTTGTATTCTTTTATTATGGATAATAATGGAATGGTATTCACGTCTAGGCTACCGGTAAACGCTGGCGGAACACCAGTGATGATAGGCGAGGATGAAGCAAGTAAGTTGGCCCATCGTGATGAAACTTAAGTTTCTTCAGGGACGGCAACGCACGCGTAATACATCTGGTATTGCGGGTGTTCATAGGCTACGGTAACTGCTTACCATCAGGTGGGCCGTATGCTTGATTGCCACGTCAGTGGTATAAAAAAAAACTATTAAAAATTAACTGCAATGGTCCTAGAGGGAAATACGTGGATATCAATCTGATAGGGTATATTGCTAGTTTGTGATTCTGTCACTAATAATCCCCTGGAATTAGGTATTATATTTTTTTACCCAACAACAATTTCCCTACTAAATAGATATGGGTAATATGAATATCAATCATATATCTATATATTGGATTTCTCTGAAAATGTATAGATATTGTTATATATTATCTACCTCTACTACTAAATTGCACTCTTCAAACGAAGAGACGGTCATACAAGCACGGCTACTCGTACTTCGCTGTACAAATTCCATTAAGACAGACTTTTATGCAAAGGCTTTTTCTTTTTAAAATATATTATTTTTAATATAAGTTAGTTATTGCTATATTATTTCTAAACTACACTAGTGGAAAAAATTAAGGGATCAGAAAAATGCCAAATTTTTTGAGGTTTTTCAAGTAGCTGTATTTCCTTTAAAGAGGGTCGTATTGGAATAAAAAAAAAGGATTTTAAAGCTCAAAGTTTCTAGTTTTAAGATCTTATGATGAAAAAATTTTTTAAGCAACGTGTTCTGCTCATCCCTAATGATTACCGAAACTAAATTTTTTTCAGTGTATGTTATTTCTAAAGTATATTATTTTTAAAGTATTTGATGTTTAAAGTACGTTATTTTTTAAATTACGCTATTTCTTTTAGATAACGTGGGTAGACGGAAACCAGGCAGTGATTAAAAAAGACGTTAATAGTGAAACGGAGCCGTTACCAGACAAACAAAGATTTCAAACGAGGTTTGTACTAAATTGTTTGTTACTCACTAAAACTTTTATTATTTAACTGTTAAAATTATTTCTTTTTTATACCACAAAAGTAGCAAACAAGCCTACAGACACTAATCGTAAAAGGTTACCGTAGTCTTTTTGAAAAACCCCATTCTCTCTAGAGAAAACCTCGGCAAAACGATCGTTCCACAGTCTGAGTGTTGGCAGAGAAAATTCCTATAAAACTATACACCATGCAATATCTTTGACGATATTTTCAGAGCAGTAACAGGAACATTGCTCTGTTCTGTTCCTTTTTTAAACGAACTTTTTGAATTGGCTCGAATCTGGGTGTTCCGGATTATGTTAATTGTATAGTTTCTTCTAACTCAGAGTATTCTAGCTTTAGAATCAGGCAATTGGTGTGACCGAGTAACACTTTATTACAATTAAAATCTAGGCATGGATAATACTGGTACCGATATCTATATATTGGGTTGCTCTGAACATTGATGGCGAAAAAATCATTCATTTTAATTTCGCCCATACCAATTATTAATTTATTAATTTAACATAATATTAATTTCTGCTTTTTCGATACTATGTATTGGATAATCTAATGTAATATATAGGTTATTAGGCCAATATATAGATATTATATCTATAGTATACAGACATGACTATATATTACCAACTTTTATTAATATTAATCGTTATCATATCAGCAATTGTCCTCTGTTGAGCATAAGCCTTTCCCATAAGGAGGTTTTGCCAGTAGTTGCAACGCATGGCAGGCGGGTTGACAACTGTGTTTAGGCTATTAGTAACGTTTTAAGAGGGACGCTGCTGGCCATTGCTCGACTATTGAGTTTCTTTAGTCGCCTTTTCTTACAGTCACGAGAAAGGAAGATGTAGCCTTTTCTAATCTGGGATCACACGGTGATTGGATAATGTGATATAATATACTGGTTATGATTAAAAATTACAATTTACATTATTTATTAGACAAACTATTATTATTATTTTTAAACTACACATTAATTACAAAATATTGTTTATTATTGATTATTGGGCCAATATATAGATATTGTCACCAGAGGGAGACTTTGCACAAAAGTCGATTGCTTGGGTATCCTGTCCCATTCGTGTTTCAACCGTAAAACAGTTGTGTTTGCATGGCTGTGTTTTGGTTTGCAGGGTAGGATATGGCGTGAATTTACTGGGTACAGAGGAATAACATCTGAGTCCTTAGGAATGGCAACGCATGGGGGGTATCATGGGCGAAACAGTATACTCTGTTATGTCTATGGTACTGCTCATGTCTATAGGTGTCGGTCACCACTTTCTATCAGGTGGGCCGTCGCTTGTTTGCCATTCTAAGTTGTATAAAAAAAATATTGTAAATACAGTATATAGATATAGCTATATTATACTAGCTCCTATTAGTATATATACATATATATATATATATATATATATATATACATATATTAAATGGATGTTATTATAGTTCCTGTAATATTATACAGGTCAGTATTGCGGTTAACACCGACTAAGGACTACCATAACCAGACAATAACATGTCAAGCGCAGAATACTGCAGACAGGGCGTATAGGATGGCCACTGTTCATATAGAGGTGAGAAACTGTCGATACAAACAAGAGATCCTACGTTTATAATAGATTGTTAGCTAGAACTACGACCTGAGCATGTAATTTTATTTCATACAATATACATATATATATATTGTCACTCAGCAAGCTTTTATTTATTTATTCTTTTGCACATATTAATATATTTTTTTGGTTATCGTATTATTATTTTTTATATATATTATGCTTTATATAAAAAATCCCTATAGATACTTTCTGCTTTCTAGTTCTCAAGGTTGACTGGTTAAATCCCATTGAAGGATATGTCTGCCTGTGTACATTTTTGTTATAATCCAATATTTATATTTAAAATTGTTTTTTAGTAACAGAATAAAAAAAATAAGTTTTTTATTTTGTTATATATGTATATGTAAAATATTTTTTTGTTACGTTTAATACATTTATTAATAAATAAATTTCATAATTAAAAGTAGCATTTATATAATGATCAGATATTACTTATTATTATTTAAAATTAAATAATGTTTATTTATTATTTACACTTTTATATATAACATAAATATATAATATACAGATATATTATACTTATATTTGTAACATAAATGTACGTTTCGCCTTGTCTGTACAGGTAAAATATGCACCAAAGCTGAACGTATCAATAAAGTCCGGATTGATCAATGGCAAGATACCTGAAGGTACAGAGGCGAGGTTCTTGTGTGAAGTGGACGCCAACCCTCCCCCACAAGTGTACAGATGGTATTTGAATAACAATCCTATGATTGGGGACTATACTGAGGAAATGGTAAGTTTTTAATATAACAATATAGGGTGAAATCGAAATGTTTTGAATGCATTTTGTTTTGTATCTTGTTATACAAGTGATACAGAACATTTTCATAAAAAAAAAGTAATGAACTATAACAATTATATATTTTATTTAACTCCATAGAAAATGTTCAAGTTGAAAAAAAAATTGTACTCCAAATCAAATACAATTTAAGTTTATACCTTCGTATGCACTAGAATTTAAAGGTTTATGTGAAGCTGTAGTAAAGAGTTTTCAAATTGAGTCGAAAGACGACAATACATTTTGAGCTTTTAATGCTAGTACGCCACATCCAGCTGTTGAATTAGTATAGGAAAATATGGGTAACTGAATTTTTTATTTCTTTTTTTAATTTTTGACTTCTAATCATATCATTTCAAAATTATGTTCTATACTATAAGTAGATTTTTAGGTTTTACTCTATAAATATTTAGGTTAAGATGTATATTACTACGAACCGAAATATAATGGCGTAAGTGGAATTATAATTACATTAATAAACAAAAGAATTTGTCGTATACAATTTTTTTACATCAAATTTGAACCCATGATATTCATATTTTATAAGTCACGATAATCCAGTAGCACCCGACAATCTCAGCAAAACTACTCACAATATGAAGCCGGTTGAAAAACCAATAGCAACTCGGAAGTTCACTCGTAATTTTAATAAATGTACCAAAGTTGCATAACTAAGACTCCTATGTAACAACTATAAAGCACAATTGTACTGCAGATTGCACATTCTGTTAGTTCTGACTGCCCCGTAATAACATTCTCTAAATAGTTTTGCAGTTCTCCAGTTACCTGTTCTGTTACTAGAATTGCTCATATTTCATAAAATTATTTAATTAGCATTAAATATTCTAAATGTATGAATGGTTTATTAATTTCAATTATTCGTTTATTTCCACGAATTTATACATTTATAGATTTATTATTTATTTATTTATTCTTTTGCACATATTAAAAAAATTATACAGGGTATACACTTAATGCCTGATGACATTCTCTACTAGTCAACTGTTACACTAGATCAGGGGTTCCTAAAACTAATTTTGTCTACTGGCCACTTTGAGAATAAATTATTATTTAGCGCCCCCATTTTTTCACCTACTTAAAAATCATTATTACTTCAAATTATAAATCACTTCCCAAGCCTTTACACAACGTTATATTTCTATAACGTTGTGTAAAGTTTATTTTAAATCTAACTATTTAAAATAAATGGTTATTTTTCTAGATATCTTACTGACCCCCTTTAGGCCTGCAGCGCCCAAAGGCTGCACTAGGTGAAGATGTAATGTAGAGTAAATGATGGTGCATTGGACTAATAAAACCAAATTATAAATAAAATAAATATTTCGATAGATAAGTACATTAATAAATTTAAAAATGAATAAACATACTTACATAAATATAGAATAATATGCATACAAAAATTAAACGTACAAGTAAATTATTGAGTCAATGACCTTCGTCTATTTGAAACGAGTGCTTTCACTACAGCGAAAATAATCAGTAATTTTTCAATCTTTTTTGAAAGTCATGATAATCTATTAGTCTCCTTAGATAAGTGGTAAAGGAATCTATTAATACAATTGGTTCGATTAGCGCTCGCATAGAAAAGAACAAGACGACACACGCTACTATCTCATTTTATCTCATGGACTGTGATTATTTATAGGTATTTAATCTGAAGAAAAGTGGCAATCATTGCCTATAGGTATCAATAGCTTCATAGACATTACACAGTACTCTGATGCTCATGTCGCTCCTCATGTATTGTTATTAGCGAGCGAAAATCACTTTTTTCAGTTATATAATTATTAAAAACAAACGGTGATATCACTGTGATCAATGATCACCGTGATATCACCGTTTTTTTAATAATTAATTTTTTTTTATACCACTGAGGTGGCAAACAAGCATACGGCCCACCTGATGGCAAGTGGTTACCGTAGCCTATGAACACCTGCAATACCAGAGGTATTACGCGTGCGTTGGCGACCCTGAAGAAACCTCTTTACCCCTCTTTTGAAGAACCCCATGCAATTTCATTATATGCTAATGAATTAAATGTAGCAATAATTTTTATGCCTTAAACTTTACAAATAATAGACAGGCCAGCGTAAACGATTATATCGACAGATACGTTTACCTGTTATCTACAAGCTGTTTTATTTTCTGTCAATTATACTGTGAATTAAATAGGTTTATTAATGATTTAATTAACAGCTGACGATTGCAGTCGGATGAGACTCGTGACGACTATCATAATACGAATTTCCACCTTCCAGTTAATTAAAAATATTACGAACGGTTAAAATGGAACTGGTGCAGCAAATCACGTAGTGCAATTTTTATTGGAGTGATATTATTCGCAAATAGTGATATTTTAACTTCATCTAGATTAGCTATTTGATACAAATATATTATACTAATTGTTTCCTGCGACTTTGCCGATTTTGCGCTATATAGTCTACCCATTGAATTTTCCTTTCATTTTCTTTCATACAAATCTTGTTCTGACAAATACAAATATGTAAAAGAAAAAAAAAAGAATTAGCCAAATAAATACATTAGTTCTAAAGTGAAGCGCTTATATACATTAGGCAATTGATTTTATTTACATAGATTATTACATAAATCTCAATGTATGTAAAAATATGTTTATGTAAAAAATAAACGAATTATCCCGTATGTGTAAAAAATAAGAAAACATGTGTTATTTCAGTAATAAAAAACAAAAACAATATTTGTATTGTATCTTTTAAGAATTAATTCTTTTTGTGGTATAATTAAAAAAAAAAAATTGTACGCTAATAATATAAAAAAGGTTCAAACTGCAACATAGAAATTCATAGCAGTTATTAATATCAACATTAGGCCAGAACTGCAATCACAACGAAGAAAGGATATCTTTATTGTGTAATTTCTTTGATTCAATGAATCAAGATTTTAGAAGGATATTTAAAAAAAAATATTAAAACCAGTACGCTTCTAATAAAAAAGTAGATTCAATCTACAACATAGAAATATATAGCAGTCAATAAAATCAACATTATATCGGAACTGCAATCGTAGCAAAACAAAAATTTATTATATTATTTCTTTGGATTAATTCTTTTAGAAGGATATAAAAGAAGAAAAAAATATTGTATGTTACCAATAAAAAGTAGGATCAGTATACAAGATAGAAATACAGAGCAGCTAATAAAATCAATATTACGAGTAACTTGGCACTGCAATTACAGTAAAGAAAAAAAGATATCTTAACTGTATACTACTTTGGATTAAATATTTAAGAACGGTGATTTAAAAAAAAAAATGAATGGTAGAATAATAATACAAAGCAGGTTCAATTTACAACATGGAAATATATAGCAGTTAATAAAACCAACATTACATCGGAACTGCAATCGCAGCAAGCCATACAGTGAATTTTTCATTGGAGCGAACTTGATGGTTTATGCATGAGTGAATCGCTGCGTATGCAATTCTGAATTGCTAACGTAACGTATTGTATATCGTGATGTTAATGAGATGGTTTGCAGAGATTTGTTTCTGTAATATGCGTTTTTGCAAAGAGACTTCCAAAAGTGATTTTTCAATTCGTCTGTATTTTTTTTGTGTATACAAGTATGTCAAGAAAGCAATTACGTCGTTAGTTCTGAATAGACTTTGATAATTATTTTCGAAGACGACAGGGTTTATTTTTGTATTGGTTCTATATACTAGGTTTAACTCACGGCTCTACCTATGTGGATTAGTACATAAAGTCCTCTTATGTGTATCCTATATGTTAAGTTAGGATATAACCTACCCGTGTATAAAATATCACTCAAATCCGTTCAGTAGTTTTTGCGTGAAAGAGTAACAAACTTCAATCCATCCGTCGTTACAAACTTTCACATTTATCATATTAAAAGGATTTAAAATTAATAAAATTATATATTAAAGCATTAAAAGATTTCTTTAAAGTAAAAACATTTTCTTAAAGTTATAGCAAGTGGATAGCATACCCACGAGATTATGCTCTATGTCGAATAAAATTCGTTGGCTAAAATATAGCCCAGTTTTCTGGTCATCAAAGAATTCTACCAGCCGATTCTATATTAATTTTGTATAAAATTTACCTTTGATTTCCTTGGGATCCCATCATCAGATTCTAACTTGGTGACACTGGGCCAACCTCAGAAGGATACTCTTTCGAATAAAAAAATAATTTTTGAAATCGATCCACAATTGATGGAGAAATCGTTGAACATACATAAAAAATTACGCAGTCGAACATATAACCTCATCCATTTTTGAAATAGATTAAAGTGAACTGCTAAATCTCCAATTTGACTGTAGTTTAAGCAATTCACACCAACTTCTGTACGGTCGTTTCAGATTATCTTCAACGTGTCCCGTAAGCATAACAAAGCCGTTGTGAAATGTGAAGTCAGCAACTCAGTTGGGACCAGGGACAAGACAGTGACTTTAGATGTTACGTGTAAGTATTTTATTATCACTATAATGTTTTACACGTTTATTGTGGCCGATTCTATGGTGACATTTCTTTAAATTTACTTCTATATGTAATAAAAAAATTGTTATTACAGAGAAATCTATCTAAGTCTCGCTTTTAAATTCTGTTCTTAGGACCAATAAGAACTGAATTCTCATAGCTTTTAGTTGAAATTATTATAAATTTAGTTTATGATGGTACATAAGAAAGTAATATCGCGACACTATCTAATTAAAATACTAAGTTTAGAGAAATGATACCATAGAATCGATTCTTTTTCTCTTTATTAGGAACGATCATTTTTTAGCTTACCGAGGCATTGCAACGTCGCATTTATCTGTCAATTACGAAAAACAATTGAACATTATTCAATGTTTACGACTGATTATTTAAAATGTTCGCTGCTGACGAATTGTATCGTTAATCATGCATATATGTGAATTTATCTAAAAATAGTTACTGTGAATTAGATACGTATTACATTCCGGTCATGCAGACGAAGTCCAAGTCAAGGCTAGTACATATTATCATCGTCATCATATTAGCCATTAACTGTCCACTGCTGAACGTGGGCTTCCCTTCTAAGGGAGGTTGCTCTAGTAGTTGCCACGCTTAGCAAACGGGTTGGCAACCGCAACTAGTTCTTGGTGATGTTTTAAGAGGAACACTGCTGCTCATCCCTCGACCATTTAGTTCCCTTAATCGCCTTTTATGACACCCACGGAAAGGAAGGGGTGACCTATTCTATGCCGGAACAACACGGTGAATTATATATATTATATCTATTGTACTGTAGACTTTTAATAAATTATTAACGGTACTCACAAATTCGTGCACGTGATCGGAATACATTCATTGACCGGGACAAAAGTAGAATATGACGTCATCGTAAGAGCTTACATGTGTACGCCAAATTTCATGGCGATTGGTTGAGCCGTTAATGCGCTCAGAGTGAAGTCACCGGCATCTTGGGAATATTTGCAACACAGATTTTTTCTTTATGTTTTTTTTTTTTATAATTAATTAAAGCTCTCTCTTAATGGGTAGATAGATAGAAAAATAATTTAATATTTTATATTAATGTTAATATAAAATATGAATGCTAAGGATCATTCCTTATGGTTACTTTATGGGCAACAAAAATAATATAATAAATTATATTAATTTAATATATGCAATCCACCCGCCATGCGTGGCAACTACTGGCAAGGGCGCTCTTACGGGGGGGGGGGGGCTATATTCAGCAGTGGACAGTTAACGGCTGATATGATGATTACGTTTAGCTTTAATAGGGATTATGAACGAAGTCGCAAGTTAAAACTAGTTTAATATCTATAATTATAAATTTTTAGATGCCCCAGCATTTAGAACTCGGCCACAGAACATAGCAGCTGAGGTTGGCAAGAGAGTAACACTCAGCTGCGACGTAGATGGCCAACCTCAGCCAGAAATCAGGTGGCTGTTCCATGAACCTGGACGTATAGGGGTAAGTGACTACCATGCTTGCATAATATTAAATATTATACATAATTAATTAAATGTAAACAATTAATTACTAGGTTCATACGTCATAATTGTAAATCATAAGGTCAAGTTAAAGACGACTTTGGGGATTATAAATCACAAGGGCACAACACTATGATCTTCGGTGTTCATAAGTCAAGGTGGTAAATCACAAGGTCACATTGATTATTGGAGTATGATTTTTGGAGTTTGTATGTGTGGCTAGTAAATCACTAGATTACAGTGATCTTAGGGTACCTGTGGATTCTATAAGTCGGTGTAGTAAGTTACTAGCTCAATATTCTCTATAGGATGACCTGTGATTTTATTTATCAAAGTTATAAGTTATAAGGTCACGGTATTTTTAAAAGGTGACTTTTGATGTTATAAGACAATTTTGAATCGATATTGATTACTTTGTTTTGATTGATTGATTACTGTCATGTTAGTTTCTATTAATTTTATTGTGGTTTAAGCATAAATTTTTTAATTTGTAAACAAAATATGAAATTATTAACTGGTAACACATTACTTTTTTAAATAATAATTATAACATGCACACATTCACATTGTATTAATTAAAAGGCAATATCTTTTGGATACATTTTATAAATGAACATTATATAGGATTAGAAAAATGGATTTTATAACAAGATAACGTATAAGGTGAAATAATAAAGGATTTCTAAAAATAGACTTGAAAGGTAGGCGAATCCATTTTTCAACGTATCCCTAATTTGTAGATGATTAAATTGTTTTTGACGTTGACCCTTACACTAATTGATGGGTATGTAGACTTTAAAAGAGCTCCCACTTACATTTTCATCAGTGATTCCTGTTAATTTTAAAATTCAGAAATATAACCAGAATAAAATCTGAATCATTATAAACGTTTTTTGGGGAAAAAATAATATTTTTCCAAAAGAAATATTGATAGGAAAACAACAAATAATTTAGCTGTTTTCTCTTGTCGTTTTTGACTCATGTTTCTCTGGATGCAAATGATTTTTATTTTTAATTTTTTTTTGTACATTTTTAAGAATAAACATAGAATATTTAATCAATGAATATATGTAAAATAGTAAAATATACATAATTAAATATATGTAGTTCAGATAAAATTATTTTATTAGAAATACTCATTTGAGTTCAAAACGTTCGTTTTTTAAATTTTGGAATGTTATATTTCTATTTTTGTCATATTTTTATGTGTTTCTGCAATTCTTCCAGCAGGTTAAAGGGAAGGCACCCAATTTAAACGTTTATGTTGATAATGAGACCGCTGGACGGTATATATGTAAGGCCACAGTGGAAGGTTACCCGGAGATTGAAAGTGAGGCTACTGTATTTATTAAAGGTTTGTATAATAATTAATATATAATCTTTCTTCCTGATATTTTATAAATTACTTTTTCTGATTTTTTTTATACCACTGAGGTGGCAAACAAGCATACGGCCCACCTGATGGTAAGTGGTTACGGTAGCCTATAAACACCATTTCATGAATTGGTCATTTTGATTCTTCGGTGAATATTAGAGTTATTTCAGCTTCTCTTAGATATATTGAGTATTATTCTATGAAGTTACGATAATATAATGAAATACTAAATTATCTATATATTTATTGAGCGATGGTGAAGTAAAAATATGACGGACCACCACTTCATTAGTATTAATTAGAGATGACTATGGAAACAAAACACCATATATCAGTCCAAAAGAATAAATTTTCAAAATAAAACTCTATTAAGTTGCTCTTAGAATTGTCAATGCGTTAGGGTACCTTTGAACATATGTGTATTTTATTCTGTAGTATCTATGTTTATAATTAATAGCACCCCTTTTTCGTGAATAGGCAAATTGTTTTCTATTATAAGTATTACAAAGAAAGTTTTTGTTCTACTTGTAAACAGTGTATTTTTATTTCAATTTTACCTAGGCGCACCAAAGATACTATCAAATAGGACCCAATTCGGAACTGAAGGAGAAGGTGTTACTGTAGAATGCGCTGCTCTATCAGTACCCAAGCCTGACGACATCAGATGGTACTTCGAAGGCCATGAGATTAGTGTAATACAAGACCCGGTATGCTTCACTTCAACTATGTTTCTTAGATGTACTAAATTATTTTTAAGTATAATATATGTAAGAGACTTACATATACATAGTTTCGGGAACAATTATTACAGTTATTACATTAAAATCTCACGTTTCTTTCAGAAAATTTCCATTTTTACTGTTTAAGAATTTCTTTAAAATGATTCTAATGATTTAAATTTCACTCAATTTGATATATTTATGCAGGATTACGCGATACAAGAGGAGATCTTACCAGATGGTATTATCAAATCATCTCTGAAGATCAGGGCAAGCCAGGCCAAACACTATGGCGTATACAATTGCAGTATTACAAACGAGTATGGAAACGCCAATGCTGCTATAATTCTCAAGCGAATAAGTAAGTAAGCCTTAAAAAAAGAGAGTTCAGAAAGTAGCCTGTTTGTCAATCATGTTACATATAATGTCATTCTATGTTACAAAAATGACATTCTATATTACATGTAATATCATTTAATGTTACATATAATGTCATTAAATGTTACATATATACGTAATAACTATATATTAAGACTATACTCGATATTCCTGTTGAATATTTAATCATGTGTCTTCAATTTTTGCTGTAGATCTTATCTAATTTTCAGTAAAGCATGTCAAATAAACATTCGACTGAACCAACCAGTTTTCGACATTTCTAATGCTCAAATACTATGATGATGTTATACATTCAGTTTCATGTAAATTATAGTGTAGAAAAAGATAAACGGTATTGTGATGTATATGTAAAAAATAATCTTTTATAAAAAAATATCGAGTACAGTAATTAATGTACAAATAATTTGTTTTATAGTAAATTTAAGTACGATATTGATCTAAATTTTGTTATACAGACAAAAGAATAAATATCTTATTTTCTTAACAGAAACCTTACCTCTCTTCATTATTCTGATTGGCGTTACCTCCGGGATTATAATCTTCGCTGCCTTTATCACCCTCGTGGTGCTCTGCTACCGACGACGTAGAAAGAGCAGCCAACAAATGAGTGAGAAACCCGACGTCACGGTTACCACCGGTGATATGTACAAAGGCAGTGATAGAAGCTCTAACATTAGTGATCTGAAAATGCAGTTACCTCAAGGCGATGGTAGTTACGAATTGGTAAGTTAATATTATTAAGAAACGTATTTCTCTATTTTTCTTCATCTATATAGGTTAACTCTGTGTAGAGAAGGTTTTTATTTTAATACTGATAAAGGAACGGCAGCCCCGTCTACGCTATCAGTATGCGTTGGTGGGGTACCAATGGAACATTATAAGTAAGGATAAAGTCACGTCTAGGGGAATTTTTATTTATAACACAGTGGGCATGCGGCTCACCTGATGGTAAGTGACTACCACCGCCCATGATCACCTGCAACACTAGAGGCATTATAAGTGTGCTGATGGCCTTTTAAACAGTATTATGCTCTTTTTTAAAAAGTTATAATGTGAAAGTCGATCTGATAGTGTATATTGCTTGTATGGTACCCTAGTCCCCATTACTAACAATCTTCTTTCTCTACTCTATATAGAGCAGGTTATATCGCCTTTACTTAGACATAATTTAGAATAACAAAAGTCATTAGTATAGTCAGAACCAGCTAAAGTAACAACAGGTCAATTAATTATTAGACATAGGCCAGTTAATTATATCGAAAAAATGGCAATATAAATTATTTAAGCATAATTTAGATTTAAAAAAGCAGTTCATAATTATTTAATAATAAATATCCATTAATTTTCAAAACTATTATAATGTTTGATAAATAAATTGAAATATTCCACCAGGACTATACAAGTTCAGATCGGTCCGATACAAAGATCCCAGCGGGATTGCCACTTGCTGGACCTGTGCAGCTCCCCTCAATCCGACATGACGATCCATTAATGCAGTTTAGATATAGCAACGATTACTCCGATCCAACGTACAGTGACCCTTATTTTAAGGTCAGTATAAATTTCCAAATCTCGGTTTGTGCAGGTCCCAATTGTTTCTTATTTTACCACCAGAAGAAGACTTTCTGTAAAGTTCGTCTTAAGTACCTTTGACCTATTTGTATTTTCGCCTCGAAACAGGTATGCTGGCATAGCTGTTTTGGTTTGAAGGGTAGGTCATGGTAGTGAAATTACAGGACACTGAGGGATAACATGACACCTCTCAGGAATGGCAACGCATAAAGGTTATTATAGGCATCCAAATGCATTTTGTTTTGATATCAATGCAATAAATACGCAATACTTAATATTGTAGTATTTACAAAATGGCTTCAGCAAATAACTTTCCACTGCAACATAACTCCCCTTTGGGGAGTTTTTCCAGTAATTGCCACACTTAGCAGGCGGGTTAGCAACCGCAATTAAGCTTTGGTGGTGTTTCAACAAGGATGCTGCTGCCCTTCTCTTTACCATTAAATTCCCTTCATTGCCTCTTATGACACCCATGGAAAGGAAGGGGTGGCACATTCTATGCTGGAACCACATTGCCAACAATGTTCATAGACAACGGTTACTATTTTAGTCACGTTTTTCGTGAGCTTATTTGCCATTCTATTATCATTTTCACTATGAAAGAGGCTTTTAATCAATATTGATTCAACAATATAGTTGAATTTTAAGAACATTATTAATTTGTTATTTTGAAGTGTCTTTCAAATTAACAGAATATATTAATTCGCATGTATTTTATTATTTTACAATGTATTCTGTTGTAACAATGGTTTATAGGGCAGCAAATTTACATTTTTGCCTCTAGCAGTAAAATACACCGGGCACTGACATTAACTATAATGTATTTATGGTTGATAGATTTAAGTGTTTTATTTTTTTAGGGTCCAGCTGGGTACGTATACGACTACCCTCAAGGCTATCCGCCCCCTCCGAATTTGAGGGTACAATCACCCACGCAGTTAGAAGTACCTCCGAATAATAGGTAAAATATGAATTGTTAGTATTAATATTCGGTAGAAAAAAATGTATACAATAGGGTAAAATTGACATGCTTAAGATCCTTATAAGGAAGTGTTAGAGATAAAAAATATAGGTTGTCAATGTAAAAGAGAAAAAACAAAATAACAAGGATGTTAAAGCGAGATAGACAAGAAGGTATTTCACTTACACAATATAAGCTCGAAAAGTGTTTGGCGGGAGTATGGATGATAAATAAATTATGAATATTTTTACTTGTTGAAGTGTAATTAATTTTAAGGGAAATTTGATTAGAGTTAAGTATTCTGCATCTGGATATAATATGAATTGGGAGAAAAACCATAAAAATATGTAACTTATACTACGTCTATATTTCTACCAATGAAGTCGGATATAAGAATAGGAAATATATGTCAAAAATCGAGAAAATATATCCTAATTCTTTAAATAATAAAAATATATTCACGACTTTGATTCGTAATGAAGTAGTCAGAGGCATACGTCGATTGTGGTCGTTGTGGTGAATATTACATTCGACTCGCTCACATTTCTCAGAGCAATAAAATATTATTATAACACAAAATAGTATTTTAAAAATTGTAATTATTCCATAGATAAATTAAAAAAAAAAGTTTTGTTTCTTTTCTCTAAACAGATCATTGCAAGGTTCATTGACCCGCAGCATTGATACCGCGTCAACGCTCCCGTTGTCGACCGGCAATGGATCGCAAAATAACTCTTTGCAACGAACGAACAAGTCTCCAGAGGAGACCGACGCTATTAACAATTTAGGGCTTCCAGTTGGCAGTGAAAGTAAGTTTAAATTTTATATTTTTAAAAGCTTTTATTTAATTTGAAATATGTGTTAACTTATATAGGTCACACGATGCAATCTGAAATTTGGTACATTTTTGCATAGATCTTTTGTTTTGATGTCCATACAATAGATACGCAATGCTTAATATTGTAATATTTTTCAAATGGCCTCAGTAATTAACTGTCCACTGCTGAACATAGGCCTCCTTTATAAGGGCAGCTTTTCTGGTAGTTGCCATGCTTAGTAGGCTGCTTGGCAACCGCAGTTTGGTGATGTTTTAAGAAGAACGCTGCCCATCTTCGACCATTAAGTTCCCTTAGTCGCCTTTTACGATACCTATGGGAAAGTGTAGGGTGGTCCATTCTATGCCGGGACCATACGCAGAAATTGTTAATAAATTATTGTATAATAATTATTACTTTTATTTTAGCACCACCAACGCCGATATATGCCCAGCCGAATAACAAGATAGGCGTTGACCTTAGGTATTCGGCGACATATGGAAACCCCTATTTAAGAAATAGTTCACTTGGTAAGTATTTTTATGATATTATTTTAATTTAAACTACAAATAAATGTGTGTGTTTTATACAAACACATACACATATACACGCACACACTCAAACACACACACGCACGTGCTCGTACGCACGCACGCACATACGCACACACTATTAAGGTATTTTGTTTTCAATTCCTACATTCTCATGTAAAGTAGTATAAGATATAATTATAAAAAGTTGGGGTCTAAAGTACGTTTACTTTTTATTAGGCTACGGCAGTCAAGTGCATACAGCTAAGCCGGCCGCGACACCAGCGCCGCCGCCGTACTCGGCTGTCAGAAGTTCCGTTGTCATACCAGCAGGTTTGTATTGCTGTTACTAATGATGATTTCTATCATACAGTGGTGAGCATTTTGCTTTGCACAAATGTGATCCCAAGTTCGAATCTCAGTCTGAACGACTAAAGAACGAGTGCTTAGGAAACGGACTTTTCTGAATTACCTCGGATGTGGGTATTTTGGGTTTTTTTTAACATTTTCTAAAGCTGTCAAGGTTATATGGGGGGGAAGCTCAATTTTTTTACATAGATTTATTTAGATTGACTGAAATTTCAACCTAAATCACTGAGGAAATATAAGTTATTTGTGTAATACGATACTTTATCCCAAATTGCCACGAGAAACAAATATCGAAATCAAACGAGCGAAACTGTTGTGAACGGTATTTGTAATTTCATTTCGCAATATGTCAGGAAATAATTGGAATATTAAATTAAATTTGTTCCAGGTAACGGCAACCAACCATCACAGGCCACTCACGTATAGCGAACAATTATAAGACTTGTATAAAGTGATGGACTCGTTTTCAAATACGACTATAAATTGCGATTATTATTTTTGACTGTTTCGTACTTAATGCCATTTGTTTTCATGTATGCAATCAATCCCATGTAAAGCTAATTTTAAACTTTGTTTGCCGTTGTTTACATATATTTTAAACATACTATTGAGACTTAATGCTATGCAATTGCAAGTAAATAGGAAACGTCTGCAGTAAAAATCAGGTATCTGAGTACTATTGTCTAAGAACAAGGAATTACATAGAGGGAATGATGAAATAAAAACTATAAATCATATGGTTGCCTACTTTCTTCTTATGCAAATATAATTAGTAAAAAGAGGATGAAAGATACACCATCAGTTGCTATTTTTGTCAATTCATAGCAGGCTAGTGTATAGAAAATGTTTGATATGTCAATTATTGTATCTGAATTTGGTAGGGTTATACGGCCGTATAACGTTTTCTATGCGCTAACTTGCTATAAATTAACAAAAATAGCAAATGATGGTGTCTCTTTTATCTTATTTTTACTAATTATATTTGCATAAGAATAAAGGAGGCAATCATATGATTTACAGCTTTTATTTTATCATTCATTCTATGTATTTTCTTGTTCTTAGTATAGTGTCGCATTAAGACTCGATAGTGTATTAAAAATTAAATTATCGATAAAAGAACATCGATAAAAATCGATTCACAATTGTATATTTTCAACTGTAATTGTATTTGACTAAAGTACATTGTAATAAAGTGTTTAATAAAGTACAAGCAGTCATAAATAATTAATACTGGTGTGTGTGTAAAATACTATGTTCCTAAATAGACTTTAAATATACGACTGAATGTAAATATGTGTTTTTAAGATTCCAATGTATTATTATTTCAAAATAGAACAGAAGATATAATTTGAAATGTAAATGAGAGAAATTTCTATAATCCTTTGTAATTTAAAAAAAATCACAGCGAATTATACAGTAAGTACTATTTATCTAATAGGCAATTATTTTCAAAATACAACACTAAAATAAAAACTTTTGGAAGTTTTATTTTTAAATTTCAAATTAAACAAGCATAATTTCATTATGAATTAAATGCCTACAAACATTCATGGACTATTATTACAATAGTATTTATTGAATCATTCGCATTTGATACAATCATTAGCATTGATCACAACGCCACCCATTGTTGTCGATTGAATTGTGGAGGTTTGTGTCCAATTATGAATTGTCGATAAAATATTATCGATTCAATTATATCACTGTTGCTATTCGGTTGTACTAACAGCCACGTTTAATTTATTGTGATTTCGTAAATTTAATGTTTATTAGAAAAAAGTCTTTGGTTAATAGCGCTTTATTTGTGATTTTTAATAATAAACGAACGTATAATCCTTGCATGAAATCTAATGTACGATCATGTATTTAAATACTTCTTCAATTTTTAGCAGATCAAATCAAAAATTAATATTATGTAGTAGTATAAGTATTTTGGGCATTTATCTGATTTTTTTCATTTATAGTATAATAGTTGAGTAATATGTCAATATTGTTTTGTAAATAGCTAATTATAATAAAATGCCATAATTGTAAATAAATAGTTAAGTTCTGTTCTTTTCAAGCTTTTTTTTTTCCAGAAAATAATTATCATGTATCAGAGTATAGTTTAAATTATTTATCACAAATAGTCCAGTCAAATGCTAAGTTATTTTTTTTATTTTCAAAAAAATATGATTACAAACGACATCTTAAATATATTAAATTCAAAATATGTATTTTATTTTAAAAGCAAACAGTTAATTTTTATCTCTAGATAGTCAGAAGATACCTTTAGATTCTGATGGATATGTGAATATAAATCTAGCATTAAAAATGCTTTGCTCAACAACAATCGATTGTCGATTTTTATAATTCCATTTTTCCTTATTAGAAGTAAAAGCAAGAGTTAACTATTACGTATTTAGAATTAAATAGACTGAAAGAGATATTTTGTATATTTTATACAAGTATAAACAATCGAATACTAATCGATGACGAATTATCGGTTGGCCTAATCGATTTTATTTGATTTATCTAATATACATAGATATTTGCTATATGAACTAGATAGCGTAAAATAAAACTTTTAGTAAAAATATATATCATTATTTCTGTGATATAATAGTGTTTAAAATGTCTGCATTTTTATAGCTCTGAGATAATTTGATATGCTAATTACTTGTGACAAATATGACTTGTTAGTAGTTTATTTAAAATAACTCTATTATTTCTTTTAAATCAGTCTGGGAATATAAATTTATAGTAGAATAGTAAACGTTACATCGTTTTCATTTCATATTATAACGAAAATTTTTATAAAAAAAATATACATTTTGACATTTTCAGTGCTTACAATATAAATATGCGTTTTGTTGTATAAAAAAAATGTTAAAAATGTTCAAAAATATTGCATGATACAGTGTTTTTTATTTGCATGCGACAATCTATATTTTGTCATTTTCACAACCATTCTGTTCTATAAATAAATACTTTACAATATACAGGTTTTTCTTTTTAACAAACATATTTCCTTCTTCATACTTAAAACAAAGATTTTATAGAATAATAATTCTAGCCACGAAATATTAACTAACTTATTAGCCATATTTCGCAGCTTTACCTATATTAAGTGTCAAATGAAATAAATTAGGATATAACTTACCCATGTATCAAATTTTATTCAAATCTGTTTAGTAATTTTTACATGAAAGAAAAACAATTAGAAGAAAAATATCTATCCATCGTTACAAACATGCGCATTTATAATATTAATAAGATTACCTACTGGCAGTAACTAAGTAATAATTTTTATCATCTGAAATACTTGAATAAATATTTTGTATAAATTGTATTATAAAAATGTTTTCACAGAAAAAATATGAGTTTTCCTATTACAACTATAAAATACATTATAACGAGAAAACTGAAATTTGAAAGACATTTATTAAAAATGTTCAAAATCCTACTCTCTCCATGATCAGAACAATTTCCTCTCTATTCCTATACGTACACATCTTATATCGTATAGGTACGTGTAATATCTTTGAGCAGAATCATTAGCAGGAGCGACCATCAAAAGCTCATTTTCTACTGTTTTTTGTTATTCACTAAGAAATAAACCGAGTGAAACTTCACTTTATGTTAGTGATGCGCCTTAGAAGAAACAGTTAATTATGTAGCCATTTACCTTTAATAATGTCTCAATATTGGGAAATATTTCAAGTAATAAAATATAGTTAAACAAAAATGTTTGGAATTAATATAAGTGTGTACTAATTAATAAACTCCATCAAGAGTAAAAATCTCCAAAGTCAACAAGTAGAGCTATTTCTTTTTCAATGTAGATTTAAAAAACGTGAAAAATAACTTAATTAGATACTTATAAATTACAATATAGTTAAAAAATGTTCGTGGTAACTACTGGTATCATCAAACGCTATTTTGCTTGGTTTCACTTGATGGTGAATGGTAACCATTAATCATACATATTATAAAACACATACACTATCAAAATTATGAAATTATTCTTTCTTTCTAAAATAAAATAACATATTTAATATTGAAGCATAGATTTCAACTATCACATTCATTTATAGTAGATATTTCTACATTGAATTAATAAATAATTAACAATAATAATGGAATATAAACAAAATAATTTATAAACAAGGAAAATTTATAATTATCCATGAATTTAATATTATATTTAAGTATATTTTCTGATTAATACAAATTCAAAATAGATTGCTTCTACAATGCCTACTATAAAATAGCATATTAATAATATTATTCAAATGCTTTTGTGTAATTGAAAAAAAGTACATATCGACAAATGTAATGTAACATCACTAGTTACGTACTATTAGAAAATGGTGACAAAATGATTTTGTGTTAATGACACTACATTATGGGTAGATGAAGAAAGTTTTGATCGATATATTCTAAAATAACTATTTTCCAATATTTATATATCGGCAATAGTTATTTTAGAATATAAATGATATGAAATGACCTTTAAATTTTATGTAGTACTTAATGGCCGAGGGATGGGCAGCACAAGATATGGCCATATCTTGGCAACTTGCCTGCCAACCGTAGTTGCTACTAGAACCCCCCCTTCCCTCAATAGGAGTGGCCTATGTTTAGCAGTAGACAGTTAACGATTGATTTGATGATAATGATGAAGCATTATTTTAAGGGAGTATCCTATCAAGCAAACAATTTTTTTAGTAGTATAGTATATATGTAGTAAGATGGATTGAAAAACAACTTTAAATTACTTTTTTATACCACAAAAAAGCTTTCCATACTAACTTTATAATTAAAAACACCGTATTAGTTTGAGATGCTTAATATAATTACATCACAAAAGTCGTTTGCTTTGGCACCTCTGTCCCATTCTTGTTTCTACCGTGAAGCAACTGTGTTTGTATGGCTGTGTTTCGGATTAAAAGGTGGGATATGGCAGTGAATTTACAGAGTACTCGTATAGAGGCATAACTCCTGTGTATTCAGGAATGGCAACGTATCGGGGATATCATTGGTACAACAGTATACTCTGTTATGTCCATGGCACTGTTCATGTCTATAGGCGACGGTTACCACTTTCCATAAGGTGGGCCGTGAGCTTGTTTGCCATTCTAAGTTGTAAAAAACGATATTTTTTATTGTTTTTTTACTTATGATTGTTTTTAGAGAAAAATGTTCAATTTTAGTAATAGAAAACTATCTTAAAATAAATCTATTAGTTTTTATTTAATAATACTAGATATTTATCGTGGTCCTGCTCGCGGTAAATATAAAATATTTTGTGTGTTAAGTTACAACCTACTCGCATACCAAATTTCATTTAAATCCCTTCAGCTGTTTATGCGTAATTGAATAAAAAACAGAAATATTTAAATATTTAAACATCTTTATAAACTTTCATATTTATAATATTAGTAGAATAACAAGGAAATAATGCAGTTGCAAATAGTCTGCCCGCAATGTTTATAGACCAGTCAGTCTGCATTATTGTGGATGGGACAACCACAAGACATCTCGAATGTTGCGGAGTCGATGGCCTCATGGAAGCTGAGAATTGTTTGGATTTATGCATACATACTTGAGTAGGCATGGATAGTATGAATACCGATCACCGATCCGACATCTATATATTTGTTTCTAGGTATTGATTGCGGTAAAAAGGTCATCACCCATTTCGATATCGCCCATATCGGTCGAACGTCTATTTTCGAATATGTTAAATCTGTTTACCAATATAATTTTTTGGATAACAAACTTTTAATATATTCGTCATCGGACTAGTATATTGAAATAGCAACTAAAATGTACAATTTTTTTTATATTACCCACACTTATACTAGGGACTACATGTGTTGTATAGTTAACGATTCTGTCCAATAAAAAAAATCTGTCTTCAGTTGTGACAAAACCAGTTATTATGGTCTAAAAACTAATCTATTAAACCAATTTTGGTAAAAGTTCTATGTGACGTATCTGTAAGTATTTATCCTTTTAGATATTTTCAAATCGGTTTACTGACGAAGCTATGAGGTAACAAACAAAAAAACAAGAAGAAAATACGATCGATTTCAGAAGCTTCTTTTTGAAGTCGGTTAATAAAAAAAACCATTAGTTAGATGAAAAATATATGACATGATATATTCGCAAAAGAACGATGTACCTACTTCTTACGACATTTTCATATATTTTTTTATAGGTACATATCTCAACAAAAATATTGCTTACATTTGTCATAACTGTTTTATTTCATCTCCAAATAATTTGTGAGTGGCTCACCTCTGGGACGCGGTTCAATGACACTTGCTAAATACCTACATGATCCCGGTTTTGAAGTATGTAGGTATTATGCCGATGTAAAAATTACATCTGGATGTGTTAGCTTAACTAAAATATAGTAAACCAACGTATGCCTAAATAAATATATAAATAGATATATAATTTATTTATATTATTTACAGCACACAACTAAGAATATACATAGATAGATATACACAAAAAAGAAATAAAAGAACATATGTGTACACATAAAAAAATAAAATACATAAAAGACGTGACATATTTTTTCCTTTCATGCGTGTGCCATGATAACATAAAATGGTTACAACCCAGTTTACGTCTTTGCCCTCAAAAGAATAAAACACTGCTGTTGTGGCCAAAAGCCAGCCGCGAGGGCAGGGAAGGGATTATGAGTAATGCGGACTACCAGTTCCATTGTTAGTAATGTATCTTGTCAGGTCGTCCTTCATGTGATCCCCCTGAAAACCATCGTGCTGAATTCCTAGTGTGTGCATCACGATGAGATAACTGACCTGCCTTTTGATTCTCACCTATCATCCTTCACTGGTGCTCCGCCAGTATATACCGTTAGTGCAGGCGGGGATACTATTCCATTATCATCCATTAAAAAAAACATATACATAAAAAAAGCAAAATACATAAAAGCAGTAACATATTTTTCCTTTCACGTAACACAAAATGGTCACAATTCAGTTTATTGCTTTGCCTCTCAAAAGAGCAAAACACTGATATTCTACTGAGGCCAAAAGCCAACCGCAAAATTCCTTAGTAAAACTAAAAAAAAAAAAAATATATATTAATTGGCACACGCACAAAAGGAAAAAATATATTTGGCTTTTAAAAATATTTGTTTATGCATTTCTCTTTTCTCGCTTTTTATGTATGTCTGTATCTGTCGAAATCATTGAATCGATTTTGATCAAATTTCTATTGCACTAATCTGAAAGTACATCTTTTATAGATAAAAAAATAATAATAATGATTTATAACTGACATAGTTTTCTTTAATGGGTGATAATGGAATGGTAATTCCACCTGCGCCATCGGTATACACCGGCGGGGCACCAGTGAAGGATGATAGGTGAGGATGAAGCAGGCCAGTTAGCCTATCGTGACGAATTCAACAAGAATTGTTCACGTTGGTTTCTAGGGGGAACCACGTGGAGGTCGACCTAATGACTGATGACCTGTCGAACCTGGGACTGTCAAACTCCATTGCCAACAATCCCTTTCCCCCTTTGTCTGTTTCTGTTGTGATTTGTATGCTGTAATGCAAATTATATATCTATCTATCTAAATATATATCAGAAAAACATACTTCGAGATTGGTTAAACTATTAAGGCTCTATACTATAAGGTAACAAACAACAAAAATTCACTTTCACATATATAATTTTAGCAAGGATTGCTTTAATACCAGTTTGGTATGAAAAAGTACGTAAGCTATTTTTTATTGTAGACAAATAACATTACCTGGTCACACGAGGTATGAAGGTGGTTAGTAAAAATGTTATTAGGTATTTATTCTGTGGCTTAAAGTTATTATAATAATCTGTTACTTTATTACTTTTATAATAATGTCTGCAATGTGTGTTGTGAAAAACAATTTAGTAGTGAACATTGTTTTTCGAAAGAACAACGGATTTGGCATCGTAAAGAAAAATAGCATCT